TTTTTAACCAAATCTCTCTCAGAGGGGCGTGGGGAGGGGCTCCTTATTTTCATCTAAAGTAACAGACAGAGAATCAGCCCTTTTGAAACAGGGCTGAAACAGAGGGGATTATGGGTAATGCTACAATGATCTGTTTGGTGTTTGGAGCCAAACATTTCAGAGACATGTTTTGAATATATCTGAGACCTATGATATGTTGATGAAAAACAATATAATAGGGGACCTTTAAAATATATATATATATATTGAAATGACCCTTTTGTTGGCAATAGAACCTGTTGAACCTTCTAAAAGTGATTTGTATTTCTAAACAGAGGGATGAGCGGATGCCTCATGAGGAACTCCACCAGCAGATCGGTCGTATCCTTGGAGACGTAGCCCCCAGCTTGCTCCTCTCCTCCTTCTCAGAGACAGTGGCCTTTTTCTTGGGTAAAATATACTTTTAAATACACTCTATAGTACACAGACCATTTTTTAAAAAAGCATTCTAAATGATAATGTGCAACAGGAAATCGAAAGAAAATAGTGACGCAGTACTGTAAGTGTAATATGCACCACAGTTTCCTGTTGAGTCACATGCTGATTTAAACTGTTGACTTTCTTCTTCTGCAGGCGCCCTGTCCAGCATGCCTGCAGTGAGGACTTTCTCCATGTTTGCTGGCTTGGCTGTTTTTATTGATTTCCTGTTGCAGATCAGCTGCTTCGTCAGCTTGCTGGGCCTGGACGCCAGGAGACAGGAGGTGAGTCTGGAGGAAGTGGTTCTAGAGGAGGGGTCACACGTGCAGAGTGGGAAGTTTACCAGAGAGGGGTCTCCTGCTGATTAACAGCTCTTATTTAATATACAATGCTAATCATGCTAATGCCAGCAAATACAATGGCGGCCCAAGTTTTAAGGGGCGTGGTTTGCAATTCGCCCAGCCAATCAGAAATTGGAACTTTTTTCTCCCCAGGAAAGTACCACCTCTTTAGCAGGCACTTAAAAGGGGGTAAAAGTTCTCTGAACTAAGTTCTCTTTTGGTGTGAACGCAAAATCCCAGGAACTATCGGAACTAAACGGTAAAAGTACTCCGGTGTGAAAGCGCCTATTGTATGACTACGTTTTCATCAGTTGTGGAAATTAATAGTACATTTACATTTAAGTATTTTATTACAATTTTGAGGTAGTTTATCTGAGTTTTATGCTACTTTAAACTTCCACGTCACTGCATTTTAGTAGCCAATATTGCCCTTTTTACTCCACTATAATTATTTGAAAATGTTAGTTGTTATTTACTTTATATATTTAGATTATTAGCTAATACAAAATAATAATGTATTTATAGCTAATGAAATATCATATAATTATAGGTTAAGTTATATAATAACCAGCAGCAGTATACAAAGTAATTTAAGATTAGCTAAATCTTAAAAAGCTGTGATGAACACACATCAATAACATAACAACATGTCATAGATATATTTCTGCACATAGGCCCTTACGCATAACAGGTATGTTTACTTTTGGTACTCATACGTTTATTTTGATGCCAATAAAAGTGTACTTTTACTTAAAGGTGGGGTATGTAAGTTTGAGAAACCGGCTCGAGATACACTTTTTGTTATATTCCATGGAATGCTCTTAACATCCTGATTGCAATGAATATCTTAAGTGCTTTGAAAAAAAATCCATAACAAAAATGTCATCTCTGGAAGCCGTAGAACTGTAAACAGCACGACCAATCATTTTAGCCGGCCCGGCTAAAATAACTGGATGGCCTACCAGCCTGTCAGCCTTCCATCTGCACAAACTTATCTCGTGCCCTGATTGGTCATGTGCACGTTCGTGTGTGTTGGAGGAGGGGCTCTGTANCCTAATACTGTATATGAGCAGTACTTCCACACCTGATTTACAGACATCACTGTCCCCATGTTAGTCTATGGGAAAAAGTATTTCTGGGTCGGGTGACATCACGGACTGATGCGGAAATTGTAGTACCGCTGTTTGGCCACTAGGAATCTTTTCCTCAGAGTCCGGCGCACTTCCTGGGGGCTTGGTGTCCCCGCCACTTCTTCCTGTTTCCGTTCATGTGAGCGCCACAGCAGTCTTAGGCGGTGTTTACACGAGAACGAAACGGGTTGTATCTGCAACTTTTCTCTCGCGTAACGGACCCCGCAAACGATAACGGGTCCCAAGGTGGATAGATCTCCAAACGGAACGCTCTAGGGGGCTAAACGGCTCAGTGTGTACGCCCTATACGATCATTTCTTGATAACAATTAAGCCATAGCCCCACCTCTGCTGCTCACTGCTGTAGCATGGTCAGTAGCTACTGCTACTGACCATGCAAAATCTACAGCTCGACCATGCTACAGAAGTTAGTGCAAAATCTACAGCTCCTCTACCACAGTGGTTCTCAAATGGGGGTACGTTGGAGTATTGCAGGGGGGTACGTGAGATTTATTTTATGTTAATTACAAAAAAAACATAATGCATTTAAACAAAGTACTAATAGTAGATTAGCTACTTTATTCAAAAGTTTACAGTAATTCTGGATAATAAAATGGAAAACATAAACGGGGTGCTCTCTTTTCCTCTCAGATCTTGCTAGTTCTATAATGATATGACTGCCTGCTTATCAAAGGACCTAAACAATAACCGTTGCTTGGCAACGGTGTGTGGCCGCAGAGTATAGCGCAGCATTATGCATGTGTTTATATGAAGGGTCAAAATCCCATGCTCATAAAATGCTCATATATTTTTTTCTCTTCATTCCCCTGTGGATTTTCTCCGGAAGTTTTTCCTTGTACGATGCGAGGGTCTAAGGACAGAGGGTGTCGTATTCTCCAATGAGACAAATGTAACATGCAACAACCAATTTTAGGCAAAGTAACAACGTTTGAATGAGTTGTGTGGGTTTTATATTAACAGAGTTACACATATTTCAAAACACGAAGTTTAATAATTGCAGTTGCCTCCCTGTCAGAATGACAAAGATCCTCAGTGAAGCACAAGCCCATGTTTCTCACTAAATTGTAATTACAACTTATTAAAAAGATCAGTTCAATGCAACTAATGTCGTCTTAGTGTTATTGCATGATGTTAAAATTGGTTTGCCATGAATTTAGTGATAGATAGTAAACATTTTAAATGTAGCGTGTTTCTCAGTTAAAAGGTTGTTATTTTAATAAATCAGACACTGATGGTGCAGCGCCGTACTGTACCTCTTTATATAGGCATTTTTTCCTGAACAAATTGTTTTTGCGCTGATCAGGGGGTACTTGGCTGAATCTTTTTTCAAAGGGGGCACATTATTGAAAAGAGTTTGAGAACCACTGTTCTAATACACAGATATAACAATATGCCAAGCGTGGTGATTGGTGGTTTATATATCAGTCATGATTGTGAAAAAGCAGTTACCTTTTAATTATGGGGAGTTAAGAAAGCTACAATCTTTAAATATATATTACTTAATATACATTGGAGTTGTATTATTAAAAACGGATTAATCTTGCCTTTACAGATTTCATAATGAACTTCTTTTAATGAAATATGTTTTAATAAAACTGAAATTGTCTAACGCCCTAAAGTGCATACAAGACTATAATGATAAAGCTAATTTAAGTTTATTAGCAAAATTTAATTAACATAACGGTAACATTAACCTTTTTTTTCACATTCCAATAATTAGTTTTGGTAGCATACTAAAATATGTTAGTGATGCTGCCGTGTACCAGAACAAACACGTACATTGACAAGTAAAATGCTGTTATACCTGACAGAAATAATGGATAAAACTACAAAAAGTAATTCTGTTTAAATGTATAAGTTGTAGTTCTTGATTCATTCAAAACAAATGTTGTATTGTGTTGTTATTGATATTATTCAGGTGTTGTGTAAGTGTAAATGTGAAGAGTTTCCTGTTGCTTCTCACCATGACCAGGTTCACCAGGGATATTGCGTTGAGGCTGATGCCCCACAGCCACATGACCCCGAACATGTTGACCAGGATCATGGCGATGGTGATGCAGACGATCACCGCGGACCACAGCTCGAAGCCCAGCAACACCGTGCTCACCACAAAGATGGACGCCAGCGACACGCTCAGGTTCAGAGCGGTGTCATACGCAATGGTGAGGTACTGCTCGTAAAACACGTAGAAGACGCTGCAAAAGAAGAAAATATCTTAGTGTACAGCGCCTTAAAGCAGGGGTTCCCAAACTTTTCAGCCCGCGACCCCCAAAATAACATTGCCAGAGACTGGCGACCCCCTGTCGACGGACGGACGGACGGGGGGGGGGGTTGGTAGTGAATTAATTTCAGAAAAAAAGAAAAAGTTTGAGAAACACTGCGCTAGTGGATTGTCAAAGAAAAACATTTCTATGCTAACGTTATTATTAATAATAATTAAAAAAAAAAAAATTATAAAAAAAATTAATCAATTTTTTTTTTTTTTAATCATCTCGCGACCCCCACTTTGGGAACCCCTCCCTCAAAGAACACTGAGAACTGTTGCCTTTTGAAAAAACAGCATGTGGCAAGTCTGTAATAGCTATTGGAATCATTTTCTATTCTTATTGTTATGTTCATTGAATCAATTTTCCTGGCATTCATTGCAAAAGAGACTTTAAAGGCAACTAATTCTAACAATTTGATAGACAACAAAACAATAAACTAGTTTCTTGGAAAATCGGTTCAACCTCCATATCCGAAGTTCAGAAGGAAGATAAATTCAAGGTAAACATTGAGCTATATGGCCATTTATTATGTTTTCTTGCTGTTTGCTTATCTATGACCTACCTAACAACCGCCCCCACTCAATAAACCCTTGAACATTGACTTCAAAAGAAAGCAAACGTGCAGCTATAAATATTTAATCATAGAAAACTTAACCATAAAAACCTAGAACAGTGGCTCAAACTGAAAAAAAAATATATATTGGTCAGAAAAAATAAGTATTATTATAGAATTAATGCTATTATTTAACAGTAAAGGTGAGAGCACTACATCTAGTACAACAGGATTTACCTGTAGGCAAACACTTTGTGGTCCATGGCTTGACTGATGTTAGCAGCCAGTATTCGGGCCATTTTTAAAGCTTCTATGTAGTCTGGGGACTCCTTCAGGATGGTGTGGTACGTCATGAAGTAATTGGCCCCCACCCCGGTGTGGTCGGGGTACAGGTCCACTGCTGAGGCGTAGGCTGCATGGCCTCTGGACGAGCATTGACACATTGTGAGAAATAGAAGAGGGGAACATTAGCAACCACACTGAAACTGTTATACTGTGTGGAAACCAAAGTTCATTTGAAAGTATCCAATGACTTGTCATGTGTTTTCAATAAAACAATTCCAAGAAATGAATCCAGCTGAGCTATCAAATTACCCTTTTCCACACTTGATGTTTGGATTGTCTGACAGAAACATGGGCAGAAACTGCATGAAGTCCTTTCCTTCTGGCCTCTGCTTTCCGTCGGGAGTCATGGGCCGGCAGTGAACACACGAGGGGTTAACCACTGGAACACAACAAGCAGGAATATATTTACACATCTAACCAACAAGAATGGAGAATGTATAAATGTGTGTTGAGACAAAGGCATGAACTGAAAACAAAGTAGTAAACTACAGTTGCATGTTAAGGTTTGACACAAAAAATAAACAAAAACCACTTTGAATACTGAGTCTAAGAATCAGCAGTAAATGGGAATTATAGGTTATTATAGATGTCGGGTTGAATGCTGAAAAACTATAGCTGTTGTTACTTTGAGTATTTACTGCATTTGAATCTATATCCATATTTTACTTTGAATTACATGTGAAGTTACACGTAGAGTTTTAACAATACAGCATGTGTTTGTTTCTGCTTAATGCATTATCCTAACAAATATTTATTTTGCTGCATGTTACGGATGAAAAACGTTTAATAACTTGTACAAAAACGACACATCACGAGACAGTTTTTAGGCATGATGGCATTGAATAAAAATGTACCAGAGGCATTGCAGAAATCCCCGCTGGAGTTGTAGAATCGACAGCAGGTGGACTGCGGCTTCACCCAGTCGAAGTAATCATCGATCCAAGAGGACGGAGTGAAGGCAATGGTTGTGCTGGAAGCAAAAAGGAAAATTGAAGCTGAATAGAGCTTACAGGCTGACCTTCACCTGATCTGAGGTTCTGGTGCCTTGAAGACATTTAATGTGATTAAATCTTGTGAAACAGGTTCTCCAACATTTCCTCATTTTATCTTAAATATCCTTTGCGTCTCGTGTCTTTGATGTAATAGCTCGGACTTACTAGTTGCTGATGAGCGAGGCGGAGTAGACCTGCTGGACGAGAGAGTCGTTTCTGCAGCCGACCCCCCCACACACGGCGTTCTGCCCCTCTTGACTGCTGTAGTTCAGGCCGTCCTCTACCACGAAGTACACCGGAGCTCCCGTGTGCAGATACATGCTGAGGTTCTTGAAGTAGTCCATCACATAAGAGTCCTATATGGAGAGATAGATAATGAGAATAAACCTCCACAGGTACAGGACTGCAAACCAAGGCTTGTATTCATGTTGTATGGGGAAGACTGTGGTAACAATGTGTTGCTACTCTAGCTTTGTGGATGACTGACAGGACAGGAAACAGTTTACACACTTCAAAGTAAAACCATTCTACTTTATCCACGACATCTATAAAGAAAAATAATTCAAGTAATGTGCCCGAGCAATCACTGAACATATTTCCGTCACACTTACGTCAGGCATGGAGAGCTTCTGGTCCAGTCCGAGCTCTACTTTATTCACCACAGCAATACTGAAGGAGAGCATTCCCACAAACACTGCCACCTAAAACAAAGAAACACATTTTATAAGCAACATAAAATCATCAAATAGATAATGACTCAAACTAAACAACAGTTACATGTTAGAATATTACAAAGTGTCACTGTGGTACTTACTATGATCGGGCGCAGCCACTCTTTGAGGATGAATGGAGCAAAGATTTTCTTGAAGAATCTGAAGAGGTAGCTGTCCGTCTTTGCTTGCTGTCCCTCCGGCAGCTTCACGCAGCAAAAGATGTCGGGTCGATTCGCCTTTTAACACAAAGACAGCACAGCGTTTTAATAAGTGCCACTAACTCTAACTAATTTAAAGGTTCAATAGTGTGTTGAATCAGTTTGGATGTGTCACTGATTAATGACAATGCTACAGATAAGAAGAGTCATCAGATAAGTTAGCTACTGCAGAGAGAGGTATGATGGAAGAAATACATACATCTTTTAGTTAAGTAAAAGTAGCAATACTTAATTGTAAAATAACTGCATTTTAATCATTATAAAAAACCTGACTTAAAGGTAGGGTAGGTCATTTTGGAGAAACCAGCTCGAGTTAGGGCTGGGCGATATGGTCTCTAAATGATATCGCGATATTTACTGACTATATCGCGATATACGATATATATATATATATATATCGCGATATTCTGAAATTTCCTCTAAAACACATACATTTTTTTAATTTAACCCCTTNTGCTCACTCTGATGGTCATTATATTTGGAGAGGGAAATACCAGTTGGCTGCATTTTATTGTATTGGGTTACTCTTAGTCTGACTATTTGGTGATGTAGTTCAGCCAACTGGTATTTCCCTCTCCAAATATAATGACCATCAGAGTGAGCATTCTTAACTTATACTGTAGGCTATTATGCCACTTATCCCCCATTCGGAATTTGACTGTATCAGAGAAGAGGTAGGCCTATGTCTAAAGAAATCTCATTTGCAATATAACTGTACCAGACATGTCCATGCAACTACTGGTTAGTGTTCAATAGCACCCAATTCAGTAATGGTATATTTTTTAGGGAATTTCTGTTTTTCTGATAAATTAGAGAAAAGTGATTGAGTCCTATGTTCCTATCACCAAAAAGTACAATTTCCGTCTAAACTAAAGCTTTACAGGACTATAATTCAGTATTTTTTTAGTTAAATAATTGTCTGACTATTTTGGTGATGTAGGACAGCCACCTGGTTCATACCTCAGCAAATCTGAAGAGGAAAAGATTGGTCATTCTCAAGTTATGGGCTTTTTTGTCACCTTTCCCATATTCGGCCTGGTCTAATTTGGCTCTTTTTCAGGGATTGGGGTAGTTCCAAAGAACAATCCAAAAAACTTTTTGTCCCCCAAAATAAAATTTGACAACAATCAATTTCATTAATGGGAGACCCTAAAGATAAGAAAAATCATTGTTGTAATTATTCTACCTCGGGTAGGGGTATCTCGAAAACTAAAGCCTTTTTAGTAGGACTTGCTGCTGGACTATACCTGATACACTTCTATTAGGCTCACTATGTCCTCTGAGCCTTTTACAAATGATCTTTTCCTCCTCTCTCTTGTTCCCTTAGAATCCATTAGGAGGCATTTGGCTCAAGAAGTCNCCTCTCCAAATGTTTACAACCTATTCTCCATGAGACGAGTTAATCTCGACGAGCTAAATCCCAGATTCTGGTGTCTGTGATGTTATAGTTTTCCTTTTCCTTAAAAACCAAAGAGGTCCAGAAACGGTCATGGAAGGGTACAAGACAACTTTGCATAGTAACAGCAAATTAAGAAGTAACAAAATAAAAAATAACTTATAATGTTGGAATGAAAAAGTCAGATTACCTTTATCCAGTTGTTCCACTTCTTCTGTATAACAAGATGACAATGATGCCTTTGAATTAGTCCTGTGTACGATATTTACAGTTAACTCTTAATGCAACACATCAGTAACTTCAAAAGGTATTTTAAAATGTAAATGTCAAAACCATGATGGCGCCGGTGCTTTTTAGCTGCATCCCAAAATGAATTATGACTATGTCATCAGGGGTGTGCTGTAAAAGCACCTAAAAAGGGTTTCTAGTCATGAAACCTTAAAGACAGACCTAAGGAACAGGATAGTTGCTTTAAAATGGAAAATGTTGCAGCGCGGATCCTGTAAATACCTTCGCAATGTGTGATAAATAGCAGGCAGGATGCAGTTTTGCGAGACACACCACATTGGACTGATTCGTGTTGGCTCTGCATACCAGGATCTTGACAGATGACTTTAAATTGAAACAACTACTTGCAGGTTTTCATTTTGGAAGGTGTTAGCGTTCCACAGCGATGTTGAGCCTTCTGCCTTTTTGATCTTTTATATCCCTCACAAAGGTAAGAGAGGGGCCTACAATTACCTTCACTCCCTCCCAACAGGAGTAAAACCCAAAGTCAGCTCTTATAACTTCAGATTTCCTTTCTAAATCAGTGTTTGGTATAAATGAACCGGATTATTGCTAGATGAAAATGTTAACAACACGCTGGCTGCTTTCATATACCGTATGTAGAAACAGTATATGATGTAAATGCCAGTACTTATAGGCCTGTGATATAACATTCTTACTTGGTTGGCTCCACGGTGCAGCATGCGTCGATTCAGTCGTATGGTTCCTAGGCATTAAAATAGTTCCCCATCAGTAAAATTTAAAAAAAGATATCTAAAAACCACACATTTCTGGTTGGACAAAAAAAAAAAACTGCCCCGAGTTTCACCCTTTAGGCTTATTTCCACATGAAGCTCATAGCATTTTTTATGGGGTGACTGAGGGTTGGGGGGGGGGGGGGGCGGCTCTCCTACGTCCACATTGTCAAAGTGGCGTTTTCTTTGCTCAGTGGTATTAGTCCTCGTGCCTTCACAAGGCTGAAGCCGGGCTGTCTGTAGTGTGGGGAGAGGGATCAGGGGGGGCCGTCCAAACCGTCTATCCTGGACGCGAAAATCACACTACATTCTGACGAGCTCTGGCATTCCTATCCCCTAGAATACTTCCTTGAGTTCAGTCCGTCATAGTAGTCGGCAAATATGATGAGTGTGTCAGTGCTCATCTCAAGAAACGCCTCGCCGATCACGCCCACACGTCACAACACAGTTCGATTGTCCCAATTGTCCAAACGAGCCTGTTAGTAGTGTGAGGCGGCGCTCCCCTTCCTGTTCCAGCGCGTAGACGCCTCGTCTCGCAGCTACACACTTGGTTTGTTCCACTGAAGACCTGTGGAAATTAAATCACCCAACTTTCTCATCTTCAATTCAAAATCGAAGCTATAGCTAAGATCTTTACATTTTAAACGCACCACTTGTACTCGTTAATTTGATCAGGCCCCACCCGTCACTTTTTATCTATTTATTATATCAGTACCAATTCTAGCAACGACTTCTTATATAATTGTCCTGTTCCTGTAAGCCAGCTAGTGCAACGGAAACTCTCTCCCGTTAATCAGTACACTCTGCTTGTCTTGTTGAAATGGACAATAGGGAGTATGCTAAGTCCTAGCCCAGGTCTCTATTTTATTACCCTTTTTGAAATGTCTCAAGTGTGTCGGGATTACGGACGATATAACTAGCCAGACAGGGAGCGAAGATTAGGCCCGTGTGTCGCCCCCTCAGAAAACAGCGATGGCCAGCAGGGTACCCCTGACGTAAGAAGAGCTCTGGAAGATCTGTGGACCTTAAAGAGCCAAGAGATCTAGGATTCCTCCAAACTTGTTCACACCTGCGTGCATCCCCTGCACAACCCTGCTAATAAGTTGTCACACTCTACAATTTAAGTGTGAGAACCATGGGCTTGTGTCGACTGATGATCCTGTCATTCTGACAGGTGAGCCTAAACTGCAGTTATTACAACTTCGCGTTTTTGATGTGTGTAACATTGTACCCACACTGCTGAACACTTGTTTACTATTACCTAAAATGATATAATTTTTTTCAGTACTATGGGATTGCTGAGATATAAAGAAAGTATGATCATTCTATGAGCAAATGGGATTTTGACACCTCAATATCGACATATATGCATAATGCTACTAGCGCTATACTTGCAGGGCCACACTCCGTTTGTCTAGCAACGCTTATTGTTTAGTCCTTTGATAAGCAGCAGTCTAAATGTTCATTAGCTAGAACTAGCTCAGATCTTGATAGAATTTAGAGATCAACGCGAGTGAAGGATACCGTACCGAGCTGGCGATCTGAGCTCAGATCAGCTGCTCTGCTGCCGCATGCACTCCTGCCATGATCTCTCTTCACGCTGATGGAACGGATCGCTGAGCCAGAGCCAAATATGACTAACGCAGTTAGACTCCCACACGTACTATTTTATCTACTATGCACTGCCTACAACATAGTTAGGAATATATTTCACTCTCTAGTGTTGGTAAACACTTATTACCAGGTGCAGCGATTTCTGCACGAGACTGCGGGCTGTCATGAGATGGAGTTGGAACAGTAAGAGACACCAGCTTACTTTTCTGTCATTTTATGTATCCAGACATTTTGTTTACGTTGCCTAAACTAGTTAAGTCTTGTAGTGAGCTTCTTGTGTAAAACTGTACTACCTCTGCTCTTTTTTTTTTAATTTACATAAAATGGTATCTCACTACCCCCTGCAGTACTCCAACGGTAACCCTAGGGGTCCCGCCGGTACCCATTTGAGAACCACTGTGCCTTAGAAGACCTAGCTGGATGCAGTGTAAGAGTGAAACAGCTGGTGCATGGCTTGGTGCTCTTCAAACAGACTGCTCCCCTTTTAAGCTGATGACGATCTGTCTGTTGTCTCCTGAGCCTCGGGATTCTTCCTGAGTTTTCGTATCTTTTTCTAGTTAAATGTCTCCGTCTCCTTGATATCACCACTTCTATGTTGGCAAACAAATGCCTGGCTCAGCAACATCAGAAGGCTTTTTTTTCTCTTACTGTTAATGTTAACCACCATTCCATACACATTTAAGCATTCTTCACTTGTTTCTGTTTTTCAAATGCTTTGAGTTGTTTCCTGTCCTCTGGTTGCAAAGTGGCTGTGGGGATCTTCGGTGGAGTTCTGCCACGTCATCATTGTGGCCGAGCGTTCTCCGATCCAGTGTTGAAGAAGACAGAGTTGGAGCGTGCCGAGGAGGGCGGCTGGCCCTCACATGGGCAGCTCGGGTTGGTAACTCCACTTTGGAACTCTTAAGAACCGGCCATGAGGAGAAGCTTTTTTCAACATTTAATAAGTGTGAAATGTGGATGTAAGGAAAGGATTCCTTGCACGCTAGTAGAGTGGATATCTCCCATGTGTTCTGAGGAAAACTCTTCTTTATATACCGGCATTCTGTTGTAACTGAAAAAATTTTTATTTATTTATTTCTTACCAAGTTCAGCTGTACAGGTATATAATGTTGGATCTTCTGTGTATTATTACTTGAATTTCGGGTTTCATCATCACATGGTGGTGACATTAAATGATATGTTTCCTTTTTGCAGGTCTTCAGTGGGATCACATTAACCAAGGTTTGGAGGTACTTCCTAATCCTGGCTCTTTTCAAAGTCACAGATCTTCCAGGTCTTCTTACTCAGGATGTACTTGGCCATCGTGTGTAGGGGCGACGCACGGGCCTAATCCTCCTGCCCCTGTACCGCCTCAGTTATATCGGTCCAGTAATCCACACATTGACATTTCAAAAAAGGGTATTAAAATAGAGACTTAGGACTTAGACATACTTTATTGTCATTTCACAAAGACACAGAGGTGGGTACTATTAAAACGAAATTTCGTTGTTACTGGTTTACAAGGGAACAGGACAATAAGATTAAATAACTTTGCTAAAAATTGTACATTTAAATAAATAGAATATAAGTGACGTGGTGCTGATCAAATTAAAGATAAAAGTGGTGCGTTAAAAATATAAAGACTTTACTCATACTTCATTTGAATTAAATGTTAAAAAGTTGTGATTTATTTCACAGGTCCTTCAGTGAACAAGCCAAGGTGTTAGGCTGCTAACAGCCGCTACGCTGGAACAGAAAGGGAAGCGCCTCCTCAACTACGTAACAGGCGTTTGGGACATGGACAATGAACCTGTTTGACTGTGTGGGCGTGAGCGCGAGGCGTTTCTTGAGATAACTGAGACACACTCATCATCTTTGCCACTACTATGCACGGGACTGAACTCAGGAATATTCTTGGGGATAGGAATGCCAGAGGCCTCGTCCAAATGTATGGATTTTCCTCGAAGACCCTTTGGACCCCCCCCTATTCCCTATTCCTCTCCGCACACTACAAAGGGACAAGGGCCCGGCTTTCAGCCTATTGAAGCGTAACCGAGCGACGCATACCAACTGAGCAAAGCAAGATAAACGCACAGACTTTGACAATGTGGGACGTAGGAGGACCCCGCCCCGCGCCCCCCGGCCCCCGCGCCCCCCAAACCCTCAGTCACCCCCATATGCTATGAGCTTCATTTGGAAATAAGCTCTAAAGGGTGAAACTGGGCAGTTTTTTTTTTTTTTTTCAACCAGAAATGTGTGTTTTTAGGATATCTTTTTTAAAAGTTTACTGATGGGGAACTATTTAATGCTAGGAACCATACACTGAATCGAACCATGCTCACAGTGGAGCCAACCAATAAGAATAGTTATATCACAGGCCCTAATAATACCTGGCATTTACATCATATACTGTGTCTACATACTGTATTATAAAGCAGGCCAGCTTGTTTTAACATTTCATCTAGCAATAATCCGGTTCATTTATACCAAAACACTAGATTTAAAAGGAAATCTGAAGTTAAAGAGCTGACTTTTGGGGGTGTTTACATCCCTGTTGGGAGGGCAGTGAAGGAATTGTAGCCCCGTCTTACCTTTGTGAGGATATAAAAGATAAAAAGGCTAAAGCTCAACATGGATGTGGACGCTAACACCTTCAAAATGAAAACCTCAAAGTAGTTGTTTCAATTTAAGTCATTGTCAAGATCCTGGTATGCAGAGCCAACACGAATCAGTCCAAGTGTGTGTTGCTCTCCAAACTGCATCCTGCCTGTACTTTTAATTCCACATTGGAAGGTATTTACATGATCCGGTGCAACATTTCATTTTAAAGCAAACTTCCTGTTTCTTAGGTGTCCTTTTTAAAGTGTTTGCATGACTAGAAGACCCTTTTTAGGTGCTTTTACAGAAACCCCTGTATGACATCAGTCATAATTCATGTTGATGCTAGCTAACAAGGGCAATTCATGGTTTTACATTTACATTTAAAATACTCTTTTGAAGTTACTGATGTGTTGCATTAAGAGTTAAACTGTAAATATCTTACACAGGACTAATTCAAAGGCATCATTGTCATCTTGTTAATACAGAATGAAGTAGAACAACTGGATAATGGTACAGTCCTGACTTTTTCATTCCAACATATAAGTTATTATTTTATTTTGTTAACTTTTAATTTGTTGTTACCATGCAAAGTTGTCTTGTACCCCTTCCATGGACCTTTGACCTCTTTGTTTTTAAGGAAAAGAAAACTATAACATCCCAGAACCAGAATCTGGGATTTAGCTCGTCGAGATTAACCCTCTTCATGGAGAATAGGGTTGTAAACATTTGGAAGAGGATTATAGAATTTTATATAG